AATTGCTTCAAAGGTTTTTCAATTCATTCAATTGAAAATAAGACGATTACAATACGGAAGCACACTGATTACAAAGGCCTTAGCCGTTATATATACTAGTTCCTAACGACTTTACTAACAAGATCTAGACACGTGAAATCATCTAAGCCGTCCAAATAAAGTGGATTAAGTCCTAGTCACGTGAGAAGCACATGCAGCTAATAACCATTGAAAATCAGTTGGAAGAGGATCTTCACAGAAGACGAAATCCGCAGACCCTCTATGAGCCATCTCAGAGGCTCTCCTGTAATTGACTTGTATGTTCTTATTGACAGAGGACCATTTTCCAGAACCTCTGTGAGAGACATCAGAGGTTCTGTCACACTTTACTTGCTCGAATATAAGGCTTCTGTCGTTTAGTCCTATGTTGTCTTCTGTGGAAGATATGCTTCTGTCAAGACTTGCAGAATACTTTTTCTATACTTTTACAAGAGATGAATAATAAAGCTAACAGAAGTTTACCATGCACGTTTATTTTTGTCTTGTCCTTCTACACACAAAGGACAAACTGATACCCTTTTCTATAGTATAGTACAGTACGGAGCCGATTAGTTGACTCTAGTTCTCACTAGCTCTATGAAAGGATGTATGCTCATGAATAGACAAAAAGACTATTCATTGTAGCAAAGGACAAGCTTGACACGTGTTTTGTTCTTTCTGAATTGTATTTAATGCAATGGGTATAAATAGTTGAGTGCTCTCTACTTAGTTATACAAGGAAACAATTAGAATTTATCTCAAAAATTCTAAGAAGCATACCCAATTAGAAACCTCTCTCTCTCTCTCTACTCTCTATCTAAAGAGAAGGAACCACTTCAAGAAAGTGAAGAACACACTTCTAGTCTTATTTTTTTACGGCATATCTTTTCTATTTGCTAAGTGTATATGTGTGTACCTCTAGATTGTTTAGATAGGTTTTTCTTTACCTTATGTTTTCCGCAAACAATCTGTAAATTTTGTATTGATCCATTCTTTATCAATATATAATTTTAAAAGTGAAAGTTTATGTGTTTGTATTCMCCCCCCCCCCCCTTTTTACAAATTGATCACTTCCGGCTGGGACCAACAATATATTTAAAACTCTTTTTCCTTCCCTTTCAGTGCCTTATTCATACACACAATATTTCATGTACATTTTTCTCTCCATAATCCTCATGCATGCACATAAAATATCCACACACATATATGTATAATTATATGACTACAATTCATGGATGCAGAAATAAACTCCATGCACAACCATATGCATACATATACTTACTTCAACATTCTATGCATACATATACCTGATACACATTTTCACTTATATATACATATACCCACATGAATAGTTATAGCAATTAATCATATATTCACGTGATCACATAATCAAGTAGTCACATAATCACATAATCAATACCTCAGGTGTATAACCAAGACCCAATTATCACACTATTGTACCTTACAACTAGTCGTCCAGATATTATGTACTCTACTTGATTATGTGCATGATATCAATCTGAATCTAAGAAATCCCATCTGATTGTTGTAAAATGCATCTTCAGATATCTGAAGGGAACTCCTAACTTGGGTCTTTGGTATCCCAAGGGTTTAGGTTTTGATCTTATTGGTTAATCGGATAGTGATTTTGCAGGTTGCAAAATCGATAGGAAAAACAACAATGGAGGCTGTCAGCTTCTAGGTGGAAAGTTGGTGAGCTGGACGAGTAAAAAGCAAAACTCAGTGGCCACATCAACTGCTGAAGCTGAATATGATGTTGTTGGAAGCTGTTGTACTCAAATCCTTTGGATGAAAACCAGCTCAGTGACTATGATCTACAGCTCTCTAAGATCCCTATCTATTGTGATAGCACTAGTGTTATTGCTATTGCAAAAATCCTGTTCTTCAATCCAAGACCAAACATATTGAGACCAGATATAATTTTATCAAAGAACATGTTATGAATGGTAATATTGAACTTCATTGCATACCAACTGAGTACCAACTCGCTGACCTATTTACAAAGCCTCTTAATGAGACAAGATTTAGCATCTTATGAACTTATGTGTAACGCTGAGGATTAACTCCTCCAGCTCTTAGCAATACTCAGTAAGTGAAATGATTCAGTGTTCTCACTCTATCAATGAACTCTTGAGTAAATGTATCTTCTTTCTCTCTAAGGTATGTATACTTATCTTCTTTTCAAAACTTAAAACTGTCACTGAATCTTTCCATACTCAATGATCAAATTGTTTTAAAATAAATATATCAATATTTCTTTCTATCACTGAACCTTTTAAGTAAGTATACATCTAAGGTATAGTTACTTGTCTTTTCTTAAAACAAAACCATCACTGACTCTTTTTCTTACTCAGTGATCAAAACGTTTTAAAAACAACTTTTCAGTGATTGTCTTTGTCAATGAATCTTTTAAAATTATATATTTCCTAAAGATATTTTCTTAAAACTGCCACGGAACATTCTATGTTCAGTGATCCCCTTTGTTTTAAAAGACTTAAACTTTTTCACTACCTTCTTTCCATATCTTGTGATTTGTTTATAAGAAAATAAATAATGAACCGTCATATTTTATGTGACATCATTATTCTTTTTTAAGTGGTTTTTGAGACACGTGCGTCCCTCTGACATAAGAGACCCTTTGGAATTCCATCCAATCATGGATGAGGACATGCAAACCTTTCATCATTGCACATCTTTTCCAAAGTCATATTTCCCTCTCTTCTCTTTTTCATCATTCCTCTCTCCCCCTACCTATAAATATGTGAGATACCATCTCCTATTTCTCTTTACGCCTTCAAAAATTCTCTTCGAAACTCTGCTCTCAAGATTTTCTCAAAGCAAGATTCAAGAACATTCAAATAACCTTTAACCTTTTTTCTACTTCTTCAAAAATAACTTAAGGTTGATAATCTTTCCTTTTATCTTGAACTGTTCTTCTCCTTCTATTAAACATTTGTTGGAAATTTTAAGAACTCGTTCTCTTAAGTAACTAACAAACAGATTATTGAAATCATAATCTAAGTTTCAAAACACTTATTTATCTTGGAAAACCCTAAATTTTATTCTGGATTTTTCAAAAGAAGTTTTCTCCTTCAAAACTTAAAAGTTTACCATTCTAACAACCTTATACTATTTTTTGTTTTCTCTTATTTATGAACAGAAATGGCAGCCAAACCCGTGAACTTCTCTATCGATAAAGTGTCCTTCAAGCCAAACAACCATGTTGGGCTTGTGGACATCCCTATCAAGAAACCCCACTTTGAGGATGCTGCTAACTTCCTGAAGAACTCTTCCATTGCCCATGCATTGATCCATGAACTTGTCATGGTCAAGGAATTCCTTCAGCAGTTCTAGTTCACTATTGAAGTGAGGCAAGAGACTGACAAGACCTTCAACAGAATGACCATCAATTTTGGCATTGCCACTTCGAGGACTGCCCTTCAACTGCCCATTAACTGCCCAAGGGTCCCTACATCAGTGAACCTTCCACTGAAGATACCTGTACCATGATGAAATTGGCTACAACTAGCCAACCAAGAAGGACTCCAACGAACCCCTCGAGTCGATGTTGAAGATTGAGAAGAATCGTATGTATGTGATTTGGCAATACTTGTTTTCCCATTTCATTATGTTTGATAGGAAAGACTGGTGGCCATGACCAAACCTCTAAGGTTGCTCTCAACATTATGTTTCTGTCATTAGACAGATGAAGATCAACTTTATTGGCGTTATTTTCGAAGACCTGGTGCTGAAGCTGAACAAACGCCAGAGAGAAAATATGGTGCCTTACACAAGGTTCCTGTGCATGGTATTTGCTAAAATATTTGGCAATAAATACCCTACAGAAGGCAACATGCCTATTTTCAGGCATGGAAATACCATAATTCTAAACCTGTAGATATTGGTATGTTTGCACCAATGCTTGAAAACTCTCATGGCACATGTATGTCCTCTACCCCTTCCTCTTCTCTCCCACAGGTGGTCAATACGCAGGCAAACCCCCCTCAGTCTATCCCAACCACCACCCCCATATCCTCTAATAGGACATCCTTCAAGCTAATATTGATCCTTCATTGAGGGCCAAGAAAGCAAAAAAGGGGTAACCAAGTTGCTGGTTGTTACCTCCCAATAGGTTTCATTCATTGAAACAATGCAATACCGAAATAAGTCAGGTAGTCCTCGAGGCACTCTCTCTACCCCCACCTAGCTCTTTAATGATCTCCTCAGGCACTGTCGTACATGTGGATACTAACCCAACCACCTCAGTAACTCAAATCACTGATGGTGTGATTCTTAGCATTGCCACTGCTAAACTTCCACCCCCTTCTTTCTCAACCCTTTTCTCTTCCCCTTCTTCTTTGGTCTTGACACATGCTAATGATTCATTAGTGATTGTTCTCATTGGTGATGAAATAATCACCACAGGACCTGAGGTGGCTCCTCTCGAGGTGCCTCAGACACAGGAAGCCAATACTATTGAAGGAAACCTTGAGAGAACCAACGTCAATCCTTTAGATGATGCAGAAGACCATTTAGGTACTCTACGATCTCCCTATCCTTTCATTTCTTCTAACCAAGAGCTTTTTTTACTTAATTTTCTCTTTCTTTTTTAGGTCCTTCTGCTACAGACCCTTCAGCCATGGAGCCTGACTATGATATGGTTGTAGATGTCAAACTTCTCCTCCCAGTAGTAGCAACTGTCTTGGACAAAATGGACAAGGTCTACCAATATATGCCTATCAAAGAAGACATCACCTCTGGTCTCTCTACTATCAAAGTTGAGGTTAGTTAGATGAAGGAGTTGCTTTCTATGATGCAAGTTAATGTTCGCACCAATATTGATGCCATCGTTTCTTTAAACAGCAAGGTTGATGAACTGCAAGTCCAGCTTGCCAGGCATGGTGAGCTGATGGAGCAGATACTAACCCTTATTCAACATCCATCACTGGTTCCTGGACCTTCCTTCATATCAATTGATCGCCAAACTATGGACCAGGTGCTTGAGCTTAATCTCCTCCAAGCTCAGGCTCAGTCCAACCTCGAGGAGACTCAGATGATCTTGTTAAACGTCTTGATGATCTCACCTCTAGTCTTCCTGATGACAATGAGGGGGAGAAATACCTACCTCCTACTGATGTTACTGAACCTGAAGCTGAAGTCAAAAAGTCTGAAGCAGAAGAAAGGTCTAAAGTAGAAGAAGCCGAAGGCTATTTACCTCAAGCTTTGATCCTGCAATCTGAAGCTAAAGCTGAAGAACTACATATCCTTATCCCTCACTCTAAGGATGCCATTATATCCCATGAAGCTGAAGCTAAATCCGAGGATGATGACGATGTCGTCATAGCTCTTGCTGAAGATGAAGACCTTCCTACCACCTCTACATCTAATGTTGGTGATAAAGATGAAGATGATGATGATGATGAAGATGATAGTCTTTCCCTTCCTGATGTTGGACAAGACTTAGGTGGTGATGGTGATGATGATGATGATGATGACGATGATAATGACAACTTCACCATTCAATACCACACCAGACCTGCCCCAGCTCAAAAAGGAGTCTCTCTCTTGGAATCTTCATCCCAGAGGGAGAAATCTCAAGGGGACCAGCACACCACCTCCAAAAACTAAAGTGTTGTTGAAGACGAAAATTTGGCCATTCTTTTGAAGCCTATCGACCCCTCAAGGGTTGCTCAAAGCTCCAGGTTTGTCCCCACTGCAATTCAACCTCTCTCATCTCCTATCACCTCCAATATTCTCTGAGGTCATCCAGATGAAATGATACTTTTCATCCCAACATTTGGAGCTCTATTTGACCAACAGATGACTCAGTTGAGGAAGTAACCTCGACCAAACTAGAGAAAAAATCCCTCTTCGTACCTCTGGTTGTGGTGAGTTCGACTTTCTCATAGATGCTGAAAGAGAGGAAGCACTCAAGGCTAAGAAAAAGCTTCGTATCCAACGATAGCAGACTTAAGACAGCACCAAGATTGCCAAGTCACTTGCTGTCAAAGCTCTTCCTAAAGGTAATCTATAAAAGATGAACCCCGTCAAGGCCCTGGCTCAGCTGTTCTCAAGCTAAATGTGAATATTAGAGAGCACTGGTGCTGAGGGACCGTGACAAGATATGGAGTGAAGATCAAATGAAGAATAGGATAAGTACCCATCGTATCACACACGTCACTATCAATAGACGGATGAAAGATGGTGGATTGCTCATCTTTATTATCATCTCCAGAAAAAAACCTTGATGTAGTCACTGAATATCCTTCTTACCTAGGTCAATATGGCTATGAAGAATGGTTAGAGATATGTCAATCTATTCAGCGCTCAAAGTCAAGACACAAGCAGTCTATCGAAGACAACCTCAACTAACTTATCAAGAAGGTGTCCAGGTATGTTGCAGTTCCTTCAGTTCCAGTGTTGATGCAAGGAAGAATAAGAAATCCTTCAAATCCTAATTATAGACCAACTCTGAGGAATGAACATGAAACTAAGTTCTTCTTATAGAAAATCCTAAAGGACTCGAATAAGCCATATACCTCTATGTTGAACCTCTCTCTGCTAGCGAAGGGTCCTTATATACCCAATATTGTGCATTTCAAGCTTGAGTATTGATTAATATTCATTAACTATTGATAGAGAATGTATCTTTCAAGGAGTATATGAGTTCTGTCAAACACAACCGACTGTTGGTAACTCTGACCATTGGCTTATATGTCAGATTAGCTCTATCATTCCATTATTGTGCCGGCAGGCCTGGGTGAGGGTAATGTATAATAAGAGAATGGTTGCTTTTAGGATTGATGTGTTAAGTCCAATAGGTCATCTAAGATCTTGGTTAGACAATGACCTAAACAACGAGACGATAGATCGCAGGATCAGAAAGGAATATCTGCGTTGAAAGAAGCTTGGAGAAGAAGTACCTGGGTACATCGACTTTAGCGACCTAGAATAGTCAAACTTTCTATCTAGTAATCTTGTTTTCTTTTCTTTACTTTCAGTGTACAACTTATATATAATAAGTCTAGCAATCACTGATATAACACTTGTACTTTTCCAATGAATGAATATAAGTATTTCCTTAGTGTCACTGAAAAGGATCCCTGAAAAGAGTAGTAGAGACATGTATATGTGAGTTCCAGTTTGCTCTTACATTCACGAACAACTTTCAGTCAGTGAATAAGCTTTCAGTTTCAGTTATCATAACTTGTACTTGTTTCTCTTAAACTTGTAATCCTTTACAAAGAAAACCTATATAATAAAACTATATCACTGAAAAAGATTCGAAAATAGTTAAAAGGGACTTGTACTTTACTTGTAACTTTTTCTTACTATTAATCTTAAGCAATTTTCTTTATGTTGCTTTGTCATCATCAAATAAGGGGAGATTGTTGATCCTCTCTCATTGATTTGATGATAATCTCTTTAACTTATAAAAGGATAGAGTTTCTGTTTATTCAGTTTCAGAGATCATCGCTGAGTCTGTTCAGTGATCGCTGAACATGTATGGTAACTCTCCAATAACTGTTATACTTCAAGAAGACAAAAATCACACCAAAGAACCTTTAGCGATGTTGAAGACAAATACTGAAGATTAGAGACTAGCGCGTTCATGATCTGAAGCGACATTCTGTGATTCCAAGCTTATCTACATATGTATGAAGACTGCACAAGTTTTAGAGAATGCTGAAGAGACCTCCAGTGTTATCCCAGCATTCAACGATCAAATGAAGTTTCCATGCATGATTGTTCTTGTCTTGTCTTTCCACACACTAAGGACAAACCCATACTTTTTCTAGAGTATAGTACATTATGGAGCCACTTATTGACTCTATTATGTTTAACCTACTTTGTGAAAAGATGAATGCTCATAAATAGCAATAAGACTATTCACTGTAGCAAAGGACAAACTTTCCTCTAAAAAGCTTGATACGTATTGTGTACTTTCTGAATTGCATTTAATGCAATTGATATAAATAATTGAGTGCTCTCTACTCAATTATCACTCTTCTTCTTTGAAAAACTTACTCAAGAAGTTACCTCTCTGCAAACAATCTGTAAAATTTTTATCGATCTTATTTATCAATATATAATTTTTAAAAGTGAAAGTTGATGTGTTTGTATTCATTCCCCCCTTCTACAAACTAGTCCTATAACTCTTGTAGATCCAGCTGGGACCAACACCTCCTCACCAATTCCTAGGGATCACAGCAGGGCGGGGATGAGGCGGGTTTTCTTCTAGTCCTTGACCTCGGTTTCTATTAACGGCCCCCAGCCCCCAACAAGTACAGGGATTAACACCTCGTCCCCAGTTTATTTTCTGGTCAAAACCCGATCCCCGTCCCCGGTCAAAACCTAATTTTAGAAAAAAAACAATATATATTTTTAATATATAATATATTAATTAAATTATATACCGGGTACGGGGGCGGGGCAGATGATACGCTACCCGGCCCCAACCCCGACTTTAGTCTACCGGGGATCACCGACCCGTGAACCCATTTTAGCAAGGAAGTCTCGTCCCTGTTCTGATCAGGTGAGCCGAGTTTCCCACCGGCCCACCATCCCTACTAGCCAAAGATGGGAAAGAAGGAACAACTAGCAATGGTCCTCGTTTGGTTGATTTCGTCGAATTGGATGTGGGATCGCGATTTCTGAATCAGGAAACAAGTAAGAGGGAGGGTTTCTTTTAATCTAGTCAAAATAAATTCTTTTTTGACTATTGACTTCATTAAAGTCATCAAGTCGCCATTATAGGGGTGGATAATCAATAGGAATTGCGGGTGAGAGAAGACAATTTAGTAAGGGAAGAGAGAAATTAGGGAATATTTGAAGGAAAGTGGATGAAGGTGGTTACAGTGGAAGTGGGTGTTGTGATTACGATCTTTGAGATTTGTACAATAAGCATTAAAATTTATACTTTTTGAAAACTCTAGTGGGGAGGAGAGTAGTTGGGATTTGTAGATGTAAGCTTTAAAATATGTACATCAAGCTTGATAAGTAGTACCTCTTAATCACAACTACCCTTTTATAAAAGAGTATAGATTAATAAGCGTGTAAAAGGGAAAATAAAAAAATAAAAAGTAAAGATGATAACACACACAATTAGCAAAGTTAGTTTAGCAAAGAATCATAAGTGATAAAACCAGATAAAGGATTTGAAAGAACTCTTGTAGATGTTTAACATCACCAAATTGTTTGAATATTTCTAATAAAAATTCAATCATACACATAGATAAAACCCCGAGTGGAAATGTTAAACCCCATAATTCATAAAGTAAAAAAGTAATGAAAAACAATAAGTGATGAAGAACCAGAAGACCGATGAAGACATCAAGGCAGAATTGGCTAAGTCTGGAGCACAACCAGAGGACCGATGGACGACCAAGGATGCGATGGAAAGAGCATCTTCATCAACCCTTTGGTCAACTACACTTAGAGAATTATCCAACAATTCATCCAGAAGCATGCGATGAAGACTTAAAGATAAGGATGATTCATCATATCATGAATGACAGCTGGAGATGACAAGTCAACAGCTAGATTTCAAGTTTATCTTTGATATTAAAGCTTATCCATAGTTTAGATAAACTTTATCCATTAGTAGAAGATTAGCTAAATAGTCTCACTAGATAGTTATCTTCTAATTAGTCTTCTAGTATAAATAGGTGATTAGGCCTATTGTAAAAAGAGTCGCTTTTACGTTTCTCTTATTTATAAAGTGAAATATTTGACGCTCAAGATTGTTCTTAATTGTTCATAATTTCTTCTTGAGTGTTCATCACTTTGTTCATCAAATCACTATAATTTGGYTATTATTAACTAGATTATTAGTGTTATTGAGAGATCTGGGATCAACAATTGGTATCAGAGCCGATGGATTGATTTTCCAATCAAAACGATCAAACAAAAATCTCTCAACTTTTGATCTTCTTCCTCGTCAAAACACAATTCCTTCCCTTCAAAATTCTCAATGGCCAACTGGAATTCCGCTTATAGTGTTGGCTCCCTCACCAAGCCTCCAACTCTTCAACGAGAAGAATATCCACAATGGAAGATCAGAATGGTGAATTTCTTGGAAGGAATGGACAGGAACCTCCTGCGATCTGTAATGGAGGGTCCTTACATTCCACAAACTCTTGTCCCAAGAGTTCTAGGAACAAACACCACGACTGAAATTCCTGCCTACTATATGCCCAAAGATGAAATAAATTGGGATGAAGATGACATGGAAAGAGTAGAAACAGACAAAAAGGACACACGATTAATAATCATGGCCATAGCCAATGAAATCTTCCAATCCCTCAACGCATGTTCCATAACCAAGGAACTATGGGATGAACTGGCAAGCCAACTGGAAGGAGGAGCAAAAACGAGGAAAAATCGTAGAGCATAATGTCTTAACGAATATACTAATTTCAAGGCCCTTCCTGATGAACAATACAGAAGACATATGATCGTTTTAAGATATTGATCAATCAATGTCGTCGAAATAATATCTCCAGAACTAAGGAAGAAAACAACATTTTATTCCTAAAAAGTCTGGGCGATGAATGGACTCAGCTGTCTATGTCCCTTCAAGCAAACCAGAACCTAGACAAATGGTTACTTCATGATCTGTATGGAAC